CCCCCCCTCCCCATTTGGGTATCCAATGTCCAAGTTGCCCATCTCTGCCCACTTTGTGTGTGGAGGGGGTGGGAATGTTTCTTGCTGTAAGGATTTGTTCCTTCTTTTGAGTCACTGCACAACCTTAGCTTTTTAATGTTTGTTTTTATTTTATTCTTACTCTTTAGCAAAGGAGATCTCGTTACGTAGTGGGTTATGAGTTAGGCTTCTAACTGCAAGGTAGCTGTTGGAATCCACCAGCTGCTCCACGGGAGAAAGATGAGGCTTTCTGCTCCTGTATTAATTTAAATATACCTTTGGAAACCCTATACAGTAGTCACTATGAGTTGGAACCAACTAGACTGCACACAGCCACAGTGTCGCACTAGCACTCTTCAGCAAGTCAACTTTGTTATTTCCCTTTGTGGTCACAGAGTTCAAACCATGTCAGTCAGCCACAATATGCAGCATAGAGCTGGGCCCTCTGCAGCCTTCTCCTTCTCCTCAACAGCTATCCTTTCATATCTCATTGGCTAGAATTGTATCATATAACCGTGTCTAAACCAGTCACTGGCAAGAAGAATTGAACTACTATAAATGGCTAGACTAAACAGAATTTATCTCTGGAACACATGGAACAATACTGAGCAATTGAACAAAATTGGGTTCTGCTATTCAAGAAGAATAGCAACCAATAATATCTGATAAGGCAGTGAGTGATAAGGATATTTTTAGGTATATTCTTCAAATAAGTTATATATACTTCAAATATCTGTGTATATATACATGGGGATAAAAGATAGGTTGTGCCTGTGTAAATACATTGTGTATGCATGAAGTGTAGGAATTTTTATTCTATCTAGTGTTTATATCTTTGTTTTCTGTGAGGCTGGGCTCCAACTCAATTCCTTCCACTTTAGTAACCTGTGGTGTGGCTCTATAGGATAAGTACTGGACTGCTGCTAACCAAAAGGTCGCTATACATAATCACTATGAGTTGGAACCGACTCAATGGCACTTTAACAACAACAACAACTAACCAAGAAGCCCTTGTGGTACTGTGAGATAAGCACTGGGCTGCTAGCTTAAAGCTGGGCAGTTCAAACCTACCAGGTGCTCCACTAGAGAAAGATGAGGCTTTCTGCTTCCATAAAGCTTTATAGCCTCGGAAACCCTACACAGGATCACTAAGAGTCTAAATCAACTCAATGGCTGTGGTTGGTTTGTTTTTTTAGTAATCAAGCACCATCATTTCCCTACTGATTGACAATTCTGCTTTATCCTAAAGCACATTATCATGTTTACATTGGTTTGTCTAAGGACTCTATACCATTGGCATACTGGTCTAGTTTTCATTACTATATGAATTACTGTTTTAGTTGCTCGATTAAGCTGTGGTACATAGTAAGATAAGTACTCTCCCCCTCCCCCCATTTCTTTTCTAGGATGTTTTTGACTCTCTTACTGAATTGCCATATGCAACTTAGAATTAACCTTTCAATTTCTATTTTTTAAATACTATTATTTGATTGTGATTTTATTAATCTCGAAAGATATTTAACTCTTATAAAAACTCCGTTTGGTGATTTGTTGTTGTTGTTAAGTGCCATCGAGTTGATTCCGACCCATAGCGACCCTGTATAAGGTTTCCAAGAAGCAACTGGTGAGCTTGCACTGCCAACCTTGCAGTACAAACAACTTTGCAGTCTGGTGCATTAACCCAGAGCGCCACACCAGGACTCCAGATATGGTATATAGATCCATATATATGAATATGGATAAAAACAGAAGCATAGTTATGGGATTCTGAGTGGAAAATAGGATAGATGTCTGTGCTCAATCTGCCATCTTGCTCTCTTGGCATTCTTTATTTCATTTAATGAACTAACTGGTTAGTATGTTCAAACTATGATGCTTATTGCTTAAGCAGATATCGAGGGCACTTCTCAGCTCTGCCCAAAGGTGCTTATATGAAATATATTTGGGGAGAGAAGGTAATAATACACAAAAGGTTATACAATTGTGCTTCAGTTGTAAGTACCTATTAACAGTAGTTGTTGTTAAGTGTCGTCCAGTTGGTTCTGACTCATAACAACCCTGTATAGGGCTTCTAAGGAGTGGCTGGTAGGTTTCAACTGCCAACCTTTAGGTTAGGCTTCCAGTCCTTAACCTACAGCACCATGCCAGAACTCCATAAGCACCTATGCCTATGGGTAAATTGGAATGATATACTAGTGGATAAAATGGACCAATAGAGCTCTTTTCTTTGTTACAGCTTAAAGCACTGACAGATGCTACAAAACTAGCAAATGAAACAAATCCATTGACCAAGAAATCTTTCCAAGATTATTATTGGCAGATAAGGTAGGTTTGGAGACATGCATGTACTTATTAAACATCTGTTAAGTTACTTCTTTAGATAGAGTACTGAACTTGCTATGTTGTTGTTGTTATGTGCCATGGAGTTGGTTCCGACTCATAGTGGCCCTGTATGGGGTTTCCGATGCTGTAAATCTTTATAGGATCAGAAAGCCTCATCTTTCTCCCGTGGAATAGCTGGTAGTTTCGAACTGCTGACTGTGAGATTAGCAGCCTGATTCATATCCACTACACTACCAGAGCTCCTTGCTATGGAAGATATAAAATAAGAAAAGGGCAAGGGATCCCTACTTGTTAAAAAACTATTCAAACCTTTCCAAGTATTTAAAACCCATTCTTATGTTAATATATTTTATAGACGTATACATGAAAATAGTTTTAATATCCATCAATTAAGAAAAAGTACTATGAATTCACTAATATTTTTAATTGATTTGTTTTATATTAATTTAAGGGATTATATATATTTGAAAATTAGTGCACACATTTATGTATAAAATATATTATTAATTCAGTCTAAAGACAACACTTCATGAGCATATGGATTTAAGGACAGCTGTAAAATTCCACGGTCCTCAAGTTGAGAGCCACTGTCTTATAGATTAATTGAGAAGAGAAGTTAGAAAAGCAAGAAACTACTGGGAAAATAATGCCAAATCAAAACATAATTACATGCCAAGAGGGCTTCAAAAACAGGAAAGCTCACTGGGAGATATTTATTGGATAGAAAATTCTGCTGTACACAAAGATAGTCTATATAGGATAGTGATTTGAGAGGTTCAGAAATTCCCTCTCTATCCATTGATCTGACCCAGTTTTACAAACTGTCACCACTAGAGTAAGCAGTTTATTTAAATGATAGGTTCCTGGTGTAGTGCTGTGGATTAATGCACTGGACTGCAAGGTCAGTTAAACTGCAATGTTAGCGGTTCAAGCTCACCAACTCTTCCTCAGAAACCCTATATACAGGGTTGCTATAGGTTGGAACTGACTCAATGGCACTTAACAACAAAAGTAGCCTAGTTAAATGCAGATGTGCTATTTGAGAAGGTTGACTAATCAATAAATACCAGTCATATGTACAAGAGGTAATCGCTTTTACTAAGGCAGGAAAAAGGCAATGTAATAGATTTCCATTCAGAAAAATATTATAGGTGGTGTTGAAATACTACAAAGAGTAGTTTGTGGACATTTGAAAGACAGTGTTTCTATTAGAAAAGATGAGCACATAAAATACAAGGAATAACAACAGCCTTTATTGACTGTTTCCTAGGTGCCTGGTACTCACAACCACCTAATCACCAGGAAAGAAATGAGCAAGTCATTTGTGATCCTTATCCTTCCCTCTACTCTCATCCGTCACTTCTAAGCAGTAGCCAAGTTCTTTTATTTAAAAATCTTTCTCCCATCCTTGCCCTTTATTCCAAGGTTCAATTCCTGGAACCTTGTTTTTCACCAGTGTGTTCAGTGCAGCTTGGACTTCTTCCTTCAGTTCTTGATCATATGCTACCTCTTGAAATGGATGAACATAGATCATTTCTTTTTGATACAATAATTCTGTGTTTCTTACATCTTTTTTTGTGCTTTCTACATCATTCATTTTTTGTCCAGGGAATCGTTCAATATCGCAGGTCAAGGCTTGAATATTTTTCTTTCAGCTTGCGAAATGCTGAGCATGTTCTTCTCTTGGTTTTCTAAATCCAGGTGTTTGCACGTTTCATTACAATACTTGACTTTGTCTTCTCAGTTTGCCCTTAGAAATTTTCTGTTCATCTCCTTTACATCTTCATTTCTTTCATTCACTTTAGCTTCTCCACACTGAGAGTCTCTTTTGATATCCATTTTTGTCCTTTCTTTTTAATGACCTTTTTGCTTTCTGTATAATGTTCTTGATGTCATCGCACAACTCTTACGGTCTTTGGTCTTTAGTTTCTAATTTGTCAAGTCTGTTCTTGAGATGGTCTCTGAATTCAGGTGGCATATATTTAAGGTCGTACTTTGGCTCTCAGGGACTTTACTTTTCTTTTTTTTAACTCAATTAGTCACCTAAGATGCCTCTATATTAAAAAAACTACAACTGTTCAGTGGCTACCTATTACCTTCAAAATAAAATTCAATAAAATTAGCATGACCCATAAGGCCTTGCACAATCTGATCCCTGCTCTCTTCTCCAGTCTCATAGCAGGGTTCTCTGTCTTTGACCTCTATAATTCAGTCCCTAAATCAGCGATGCCCTCTGTAGTTTTGTTTCAATGCGTCTTGTTTCTGGACTGTTTGTTCATCCATTTTATGCCTACCACTTAACTACCACATACATTTTATTTCATGTTACTTCCTCAGGGAGGCTTTTCCCCATTTAGTTAAATTCTTTTTATGGACTCATATGACACTTTGTATTTCCCCCTTTGTAACACTCATCGCATTTCTAATTAATGGTGAAGTCTTTTTCCTCTGTTGGAATGTTAGTTCCTAGCACCTAAAACAGTGCCTGCCACACTATAAGACAAAACAACAACAACAAAACAAACCCATTTCTGTTACATTAATTCTGACTCATGATGACCCCATGAACATAAATACAAATATGCTAAACAGAATTATATCAAATAACATTTCATGGCAATGTTGGGATCAGACTGTTAGAAATGAATCCTGATGTCGCATAAAATACACTCGGTGAGACTAAATTACCTTGGGAAAGTAAAATTTACTCTTGCAAGAGGGTGCGTGCTCATAGCCGTACATACGGGAACAGGCCGGCGAGCACACCGAGTGGGCAGTCCACTCGGGTTTTTAATCCCTGACGCGAGTCTCAAGGCTGTGTCTCACCCCATTGGCTAGGGTTTTGACCACACAATCTTTTCCCTTACCCGGTTAGCTAGTTCAAATTTTTAAGGCGCGCATTCCTACTTTAGGAAAAGAAAAAGAGAGCGATCATAAATTCTTTACTCCCAGAAGTAGTTAAAAGAAAAAGAGAGCGGTCATGAAGTCTTTACTCACTTCAGGAAGTAGTCAAAGAAAAAGAGAGAGATCATGAAGTCTTTACTTCAGGAAATTAAAACAAAACAAAAAAAAGTTAAACAGGATTATAATAAATAAATATATATATATATTTTTCCCCCCCCACAGTACCAGGAATGCAAAGATGCTTTAACATTAGAAAATCAATCTGTGAAGTTTTTCTTCTTAATACATATTACTTTGATTTTCAAATAGTATCTTTGCTGTAACTTCTGGTAAAGTACCTCTACATTTTAAGTAGTAGTTCTAATTGTTCATGTGAAAAAAAAAAGTATAAAAAATACAATAAAGAAAATCCAGAACATCTGGAAATACATGAAAATAGTGTATCATATTTTTTCCTAATAATTGGACCCATAACTTTAAGATTAAAGGCACTTCTCTTGAAAACATTTCTGGAGGTTGAAAAAACGGTGAGCATCTCCATTCCTTCTTTGCACTTCCTTCCTCTATCCCTCCTCTCTCTGGACTCCTTTTGCCTCAGGATCTTGCAAAGCTTGTTTATTTCCATTCCAAGAGTATTTGCATTTTAGCAGGGGACATTTAAATAGTGAAAAACCTTCAAGTCATGTAAGAGTGGATCTCTAATGATGACATTTCAGTCTTTGATTCAGTAAGTGGGTAAAACAGAAAAATAAATAAATAAGGTGGGGTGTTAGAAGAGTTAGTGCAATACATTTTTCCAAGACATTTAAATTTACTTAGAGTTCTAATATATCAAGATCTTTTCATATACCATTATCATTGTAGTAATACGAAACAGCTGTATGACTTAGAAAAGGAAAAAGACTTCTCACTACTACACAGTATGTTACGGACTTGGAAACAGATAAAATCCCTTCGAGAACAGCAAGGGTTCACAAGCACTCCAGTAAAGTTACAGTTTCAGAGGTGAGTGGAAACTCTGTTTGTTCTTATAGATTGTGAGGATGGCACAGCCTCAGGCAGCGAACATTTCGTTCTGACTCCACAGCACCTAACAACAACAACATATCTGGGTGGAGTTTTAGGTGATATTGTCATGTATATTAATCTCAGGTTGTTGTTTGTTGTTGTTGGGTCTCTGTCCAAAAATTCCCTGTAGTATTTGTTATAAAATTGGTCTGGTTTTTATAAATTCTTTCACTTTGTTGTTTCTTTTTAAATGTCCTAATTGTGCCATCATATTTGATAACAGTTTTGCTGGCTATGTGATTCTTGGTTGGCAATTTTTTTCTTTCAGAATTTCATACATGTAATTTCCATTTTCTTTGCATGGTTTCTGCAGAGAAATCAGAGCTTAATTTTATTAATTATCCTTTACAGTAACTTTTTTTTTTACTGTGAGCTGCTCTTTCCATGTCTGTGGTTTTGAAAACTTTGATTATAATTTATCTTGGTGATTTTCTTTTGGGGTCTGTCCTGTTTGGGGCTCATTCATTTTCTTGAATGCTTATCTTCTTGTCTTTCATGATATTAGAGAAGTTTTCTACCAATAATTCTTTGACAATTTACTCTTATTCTGGAATTCCAATCTCACATAAATTATTCCTCTTGATAGTGTATCATATAAATCCTTGGATTTTTATTGTTTTTTTCTTCTGATTGTTCCTTTATTAATGAATATTGAGAGAGATGTCTTCAAGGTTGCTAAACAGCCTTCTGTTGATTCCATTCTACTTCTTCGCCCTTCCAATATATACCTATTTCAGAAGTCTTAGTATTAATCTTGTGGCTTCGAATTGCTATTTTTGTATGATTTCCAATTTTTCATTTATTTTGTTAATTTGTTCTTGTAGTGTTTCCCTGAATTCTTTCCAAGTTTTGTCTATGTTTTCTTTGATTTCATCTGCTGCTTTCTTAATCATTTTCTTAATCCTTTGAAGGAACCCACCCAAATATCATTCTTTTAAATTCCTTGTGAAGTAATTCCTGGTATTATATTTTCTGCCTCTGTATTTTAGTCACATGTTTGAGGCTCTCTGTCTTGTTTTTTGTGTAAGCTGAATTGTCTGTTGTTTCTGAGCCATTTATGGTGTCATCATAATTATATTTGGGAGCTGCAAGAAAATGCCACCAGTCATCCCTCCTACAGCACTCTTTACTCAGCTGGGTTTGATAATGCATTGTAGTGGCCACAAAGAACTCAAACACTTACAGTTACAAGGTTTGTTAGGGAAGTTAACAGGCTACAATTCAGGGTCAGAAATGCACAGTTGTTCCAGGAAAGACAGTATCTCCTCAGCTGTGTCTTCAGACAGACTCTCTCTGCCCACCCAGCCAATTTTGTAAAGCTCTTTTAGAGTGGCTGATAAATGGCCACAGGATGTACCACTCCACCATAAACCTTAACCTGAAGACATCTGGCTCGAGCTCCGTGGATCAGCAAACCTTGCCCCCCTCCACATTTAAGTGCATGGAGGCACCCCACTCTACAAGCAAGCCTCCTGCCCAAGTCACTCAGCTTTACATGCTCCATGGGCTGGGAAGGGCACTGCTCTGTCTCGTGCTCTGGTTCTTGGTTCTGCAGAGAGCCAAAGGACACTCTCCACTCCTGATTCCTCTTTGTCGGTAGTGAGATACCCTCTCCTGCTTCTGAGATGGTTTATTTGATAATTGTGGTAGAGTTGCAAGTTTTTACAATCACAATGAACTCTGTTAACAATGACAACAGAATCATGTCATCTTATCAGCATCTTCACCTACCTTTTCTTACCCACACCCATCATGAAAAAGTTTTCTGATGGGAGTTACAAGGACTATGGGTAGAGGAGCCATATGAAGTAATTTACTGTACTGCAGGAGTCCTGGTGGCATTATAGGATAAGCACTAGACTGCTAACTATAAGGTCGTCCGCAGTTCAAACTCATCAGTTGCTCCTTGGGAGAAAGATGAGGTTTTATGCTACTATAAAGATTTACATCCTTGGTGAGGGTATGGAGAGATTGGGATTCTCCTACCTTGCTGGTGGGACTGTCAAATGGTGCAACCCCTGTGGAAAATGGTATGGTGCTTCCTCACAAAGTTGGAAGTAGAAATAACATAGGAACCAGCAATCCCTCTACTTGGTATATATCCACAAGAATTAAAAGTCATGAAATGAGTATACTCATCACAGCACTGCTCACAAAAGCCAAAAGTTGAAGATAGTCTAAATGCCCAACAATGGAAGAATGGATAAACACAATTTGGTACATACACATAATGGAATACTATGGAACTCTGAGGAATAATGATGAATCTGTGAAACACCTCATAACATGGGTGAACCTGGAGAACATTATGATGAGTAAAATTAATCAATCACAAAAGGGCAAATGTTGTATGAGACCACTACTGAAAAAACTCAAAAAAGGTCTTCGTGCTAAAAGAAACAACCTTTGATGGTTACCAGGGATGGTAGGGAAAGGAGACTAATTCACTGGTTAGAAGGTAGACGTATGTTAACTTGGGTGATGGGGAAGGCAATATACAAAAATATGGAGGTTGGCAGAAGAATGATGAAGACAGGTGAAGACATGGAGGAATGCAAGGGTTCAAAGAGGATAGAGATAAGTAGTGTTATATGTACAACCCTGGAACAACAATGTTCTTCGGGTAAATAACAAGGACAGATACACATACTCCCACTTTTCTTCCTATACCCATTCAGTCTGTCTACAAACATATAAGAAACTTAAAGAGGATATTTGTACATGGGCATTTACTGCAAACACACCTGTGAATGTGGTGGAGCATACAGCAAGCAAAATGATGAAAAGGTCTAATCAGAGTTCTTAAGGCAATGAATTCCTGGGTCTGGGGGCTCAGGACCATAATCTCAGGGGACACCATGGTCAGTTGGCATAACGTAGTCCACAAAGACAGTGCTCTACATCCTACTGTGGTGAGTAGCATCTGGGATCTTAAAAGCTCATGAGCAGCCATCTTAGGTGCAACTGTTAGTCTCTCCATTTGTGGAAGAAAGAAGAGTGATGAGAATTGAAGATGCTTGGAATCAGCTAGTCCAGTGGACTAGTGAAGCAGGAGAACATCTGTCACCATGACTTTGAGACTAGAGGAACTAGATGGTATCCAGCTACTACTACCAACTGCTCTGAAAGGGTTCAAATTAGAAGGTCCCAGTTAGACTGGGAGAAAATGTGGCACAAAGCTCAAAATTATATATATACATACATATATAAAAGACTGGGCTTACTGATTAGAAAAAACTTAGAGGAACCAAGACTATGGTCCTAGACCATCCTTCAGGTCTGGAATGGAGCTCAGTCTCACGATCCAAATTTCAACCAAGCAGTTGTTGTTGTTAAGTGCCATCGAGTCGATTCTGACCTATAGCGACCCAGTATAGGGCTTCCTAGGAGCAGCTGATGAGCTTGAACCACCGACCTTGCAGTAGATAGGTATATATGGAGGGCTACAACACTACTAAGATATGCTCACCATAGCATTCAAGATTGCGAGGGCAACATTTACGTAAGGACAAAGTTGAGAAAGGATGGGAAGGAAGGTAGAACAGAAATAGGAATCACAGGCAGGGAGTGGAATAACTTGTTGCTATATGGAGGGGATTGCAATCATTGAGAAGAAACAAAGTTTATGGTTTGTTGAATGTAAAACTAATAATCTTGTCTGCAAACCATCACTGAATTCACAATAATAAATTTAAAAGATACGAAGATTTATAGCCTTAAAACCCTATACACAATCACTATGAGATGGAACTGCCTTGATGGCAGTGAGTTTGAGTTGTATTTCTATTTAATCAATGATTATATGTTACTGTGTTCTCAGTGACTTACCACCTTTCTTGCTGTATGAATACAGTTCTCTGCTGTTTGTGTAATGTAGTTTAGAGTGGGTTCTCACACTTCCAGACACGAGGGTGGTATGCCTGGCTCCTGATGCCAGGCAGAACAGAGGTTGTACAGGAAGGCGTGCCACTAGCCACTGGACTGTGTGAGGGTGGAGATTGGCCACATTCTCAGCTCCCAGGAAGCTGCAGGAAACAAGGGAGAAACACAGCCCCCTCACTGCCAACCTCTAGTTTCACCCTTTGCCTCCAGACCACTGTACTGACAAGCACCCACTAAAGCTCAAGATGGCTACACCACTCTAGTTGACAGTTTACCTACTTTTCTTGTGTATCACTGCTCTTGTTCAACTTCCTCTTCCAGTCAGCCCTCAGTATACTTCTCTGCCTTATCCTCTCTGAAGCTTAGAGTACCAGGATCACCATCTATATCTGTTTCACTTGGTCTCCCATATCCTTATTGCAGAGGGTCTGCTCAATGCATCTGCCTACTCCACTATCTTGCCCTTGAAGTCAGATCTTTTGTTTTTAAAAACTATGTAAGTTTAATGTAACTTCAGGAAATTAACAAAGGTGTTTACTTCTTCCTGTTACACTGGTTTTTAACAAAAGTGCTTCTGGCAGTTTCGAAACCTAAACACAACAAGGAACTTTTAAAATCTTAGACTCTTAAATCCAACCAAATTTGTTGACTTACACTTAATCCTTTAAACCAACCTGAGGTGCGTATGCATTATGAACAAAAAGAGCCATAGATGCTGTAAGTCTATTCAGAGCAGTGGCCCTGGAGCTGAATTGTGTTCTTCCACTGGTTCTTTTACCCTTACTCAACTCCAAATCTAACTGAGGCCCTTTGCTTTTGTTCTCCCTGACATTTAGCATTCTACTTCAGATTGAATTCCTGTCTCCAGACTGCAGTAACTAGGAGACCTCTGAATTCTATCCTACAGTATCAGTGACTAGGTTGACCCCTCAGCAGAGCTGGCCTTGGCTTCTCTAAATTGTGACATTTAGGCATTAACCAACTAAAGTATCAATTTGTTGTTGTTAAGTGCCGCTGACTCAGTTCAGACTCATAACGACCCTGTATGGGGTTTCTGAGGAGCAACTGGTGAGCTTGAACTGCCAACTTTGTGGTTCAAACCAACCTTGCAGTCCAGTGCATTAACCCACAGTGCCACACCAACTAAAGTATCAATTTAGTCAACTATAAAAGCTTTATGTTTAGAAATGCATGTGAAAACCTGTTTCTTGGTTGAGTTTACCATTAGTAACTTCCCAACAAATCAGGTCCTATGAAAGTTAATTGAATAAGCTTGTTCTTAAGTGTTAAGACCTTCCGGAAAGACAATACTTAAGGACACCTGAGGAGGTGGCAAGGTGGTGGACTAGTCAGAAACATTACACAGACCCTCCACAAGAAAGGTAAACTAAACCAAATAAAACAGATGTAGATGATAGTCCTGGAGCCCCGAACTTCAGTTGAAGGGATAAAGAAGTGAATTGAATGTTTACTAAGAGAGGAAGCTGAACAGATGCAGCAAAAAAAAAAAGAGACACACTGGTTAGCTCTTCTGGCCAAACAGTTTCGGTACAGCCGTTGTAAACTGTGTGAATCATGGCACACTATGGCTAACCCTGACAAGAATGGGTATCCCAGACATTTAATTGTGCTCATGAGAAACGTGTACATAGACCAAGAGGCAGCTATTTGAACAGAATAAGGGGATGCTGGATGGTTTAAAATCAGGCAAGGTGTGTGTCAGGGTTGTATTCTTTCACCATATTTATTCAATCTGTATACCGAGCAAATAATCTCAGAAGCTGGACTATATGGAGAAGAGCATGGCATCAGAATGGGAGGAAGACTATTAGCAACCTGCAACAAGCAGATGATACAACCTTGCTTGCTAAAAGTGAAGAGGACTTAAAATCCTTACTAATGAAGATCAAAGACCACAGCCTTCAGTATGGATTGCACCTCAATGTAAAGAAAACAGAATCCTCACCACCGGACCAATAAATGGAGAAAAGATGGAAGTTGTCAAAGACGTCATTTTGCTTGGATCCACTACCAACACTCATGGAAACAGCAGACAAGAATTCAAATAACATTTTGCATTAGGCAAATCTGTTGCAAAAAACCTCCTTAGTGCTCAAGAGCAAAGATATCTGTTTGAGGACTAAGGTATGCCTGACTGAAGCTATAGTATATTCAGTAGGCTCGTGTGCATGTAAAAGTTGAACAATGAATAAGGAAGACTGTAGAAGAATTGATGCATTTGAGTTATGGTGTTAGAGAAGAACATTAAAAGTACAATGGAGTTAGAGAAGAGCAAACAAAACTGTGTTGGAAGAAGTGTAGCCAGAATGCGCTATAGAAGCCAGGATGATGAGACTTCATTTCTCATACTTCAGACTTAACTATCAGGAGGGACCAAGAATAGCATCATGCTTGGTAAAGTGGAGGGTCAGTGAAAAAATGGAATTCTCCCAACAAAATGATTGGCACAGTGACAGCAGCAGTGGGCTCAGGGGTAACAATGATTATGAGACTGGCTCAGGACCCTGCAGTGTTCTGTTGTTTAACAACAACATTAAAAAGATGAAGTTAAGATACATAGATATATGCTACAATATGGATTAACCTTGAAAATAATTATGCTAAATGGTCTTTTTTTTTTTTTTTTTTTTGGTGTGGTTTCTATCACTTAGCATAATGATTTCAAGGCTACCCATGTTGTAGTATGCATCAGAGCTTCATTGCTCTTTAATGTTAAATAGTATTCCATTCTTTAAGGAGCTCTGGTAGCATAGTGGTTACGAATCGGGCTGTGAACCACAAGGTCAGCAGTTCGAAAATACCAGCTGATCCGCGGGCGAAAGATGTGGCTTTCTGCTCCTGTAAAGATTTACAGCCTCGGAAACCCTATACAGGGTTGCTATGAGTCGGAACCGACTCCATGGCACACAACAACAACAACAACAACAACATTCCATTCTAAGGATATATACTGCATTTTATTTATTCATTCATCAGTTGAAGAACATTTGGAGTTTTCCACGTTTTGGCTATCATGAGTAAGTATGTTATAAACAGTCATGCAAAGTGTTAGTGTGGCCATATGTTTTTATTTCTCTTAGTTACATATCCAAGAATGAAAATTTGGGTCATATGGTAACTCTATGCTTTACACTTTGAGGTACTGTCAGACTAGTTCCAAATCAGTGACACTACTTTATATTCCCACCACAGCATCAAATAGCTTATCAAAGAATTTCCTTCTTGAATGATTGAATTAAAAAAACAAAACAAACTTTGCACTGAAAATAACACTTGTTATGGGAAAACTCAACTTCCAGACCAATTATTTTCTGAAAAGTTTCTAAACAACTGGGTTTTGTTCTACTACTAGTAAAAGAGGGATGATAATAGTACCTAGTTCATAGGGGCATTAAATGAGCAAATACAAGTAATCATATCCATTGCATGTGTGCAGAGTAGAACTCCATAGGGTTTTCAAGGCTGTGATCCTCTGAAAACATCTACAAGAAAAGTTTTTCCTGCCAAACTTTTGTTTAGTAGTCAAATGTTTAACCATTAGCACCACCCAGAGACATAGATTGGAATTAATTTGTCAGCAAGTCAAACCAAACCACCCACCCTACTGCCATGGAATACATTCCGACTCACCTGTCTCAGGCTAGCTACTGGTAACATATGTGTAAAGTACATAGGACATTGCCATCAGAGTGCTTTACAAGTAGTTTGTAAGAATAAAATGTCATTATTAGTTTAAGTTGCTAACCTTAAGGTCTTCAGCTCAAATCCATCAGCCACCCCATGGGAGAACGATGAGGCTGGCTTCTCCCGTATAGATTTACAGTCTCTGAAACTCAATATAGGGTCACTATGAGTTCTAATCAATTGGATGGCAGTGGGTTATATCATGAACTGTTAACTATGTGTGCATAAACACCAAGTAGTGAAACCAATTTACCACTAAATATCATCATGGTAACCTATTTATAGACACAATTGTGTCCTCGCAGCTTAAAATACATGAGTGGAAGTAAAATGACAGAAGTAGGTTTGTATCTCCCTCTCCTCTGGTTTATCTATTCTCATTGGAATAAAGATTTCTTGAGGTCTGTAGGCAGAGCTGTAAATCCCATTTATTTCTTGGTGGAGAGAAATCCATGGAAACTGAGAGTAAGTGTATGAAGTTTTATTTCCTTCTTTATAAATTTGTCATATTGATAATTTCCTTAGGATGTAAAAGTATTTTTGTAAGAGGTTGATTGTGTTGGTGTATGTTGACAAGACTTCTAACATCTTTTAAATCCCTCCATTATTTCTGCTTTGAATAATTCTATCTATCATTAATTAGGATGAAAATGAATAAATATGATGAACAAAATCAAGAAGGACTGTCAAAAATGTCGGAGCCTAAAGGAAAAACTAAAGGAAAACGATATAAAAATGGGGAGAAACAGCAGGTATTTCTATTGGAAAATAACAAATCAACTAGTTATATTTCATTATTGGATAGAATAGGAAATCTTTATATTTATAAAAGTTATCCTAGAAAAGGACAAATATAGGAGATGATAGTTTAATTTTATTAATATTTTTCTTAATATGTATTGTAAATTATATATATGTACACATATATATGTCATTTTTCTAGAGCCTTTCATATCTAGCTTCAGAACTTGAAGAAACAGAAATTCAAGGAATACAGCCAGTTACCTTGATGCCACATCTTTCTTTCACTGCAGAATTAACAAACATATACAAATGTTCACTGTAAGCATTTTAAAATTATTGCTTCATTACATATTATATTATCTGTTAATTTATGGGAGTCCTTGGTGATGCAGATGTTTACATGTTTGATTGCTAGCTTAAAGCTTGGTAGTCAAGCCCACCCAGAGGCATCTTGGAGGATGGGCTCAGGATAGGTTTTCCTGCTTCCAGAGCTGTTTGATCTGTATGCGTAGGGTCACAGTGAGTTGAAATTGACTTGATAGTTACTAAAAATTACAACATTAATTTTTTTCCCTTTTATGAAAAATTTTTATTGTGATTTGGGTGAAGGTTTATAGATAACATGATCAGCTTTACATTCAACAAATTATACACTTTGTTTAACCTCAATGATTACAATCCCTTCCCTGCAACTGTCCAGTCGGTTCTGACTCACAGCAACCCTGTTTAGAGTTCTCTCATAAGGAGGGAGGGCAAATTACTAGGATCTTTAAAGATGACAATTGGTCAAATGAATGGATGAAAGATTTGTAGTGCTCTGATTTTAGTTCTTTAGTATTTTTGAGTCAATATCTTTTGTGAAAAAACATGTAACTGGGTAGGAAAGACTATTCATAAATGTGCGAGTGCTGTTTGACTGAATGGTACCATTTACTCTCTAAATGAGCTTCTTCATTTTTAGCTACATAGCATTTTGAAGAGAACAGTTTTTTACTTTTCAAGCATCATTAAAAGATTTATTTAATTTTTAGGCATGAACAAAAGAGAAGAGCCAAAATTCAGAAGCTTAAATATTTTATTAAAATATTTTACAATGATAAACAGGTTTGTTGCACTTCTGTATCATCCCTACAGTTTGATTTTAAAGTCATGTTTCAGCAAATTTTCAATATCCAACTAATACATTGGCCCGAAACAATTTGCTTGAAGGTATGCCATTGTCATTTATTTTGTGCTATAGGTAGTTGTAAATTTCTGTTTAGCTACTGCTGTAAGTGATATGTAATTTCTTTTATATTAAAAGGCAAATAATCTGTATGATATAGGCAAGATATTTATAATTAATCAAGTCTTTTATACCGTAAGTAGAAAATTATTTGATCTGTGGTTGTACCAAAAACTTCTATTTTCTATTGCTGTTTGAAAACTCCTGTCACCTCTGCGTGTGTATCAACTAGCAAGTGAGGGGAAAGTGCGTTGTCAAGTGTAAGGGGCAGCATAGTTATTTAACTGTTGAATGATTTCTCCAAATTGTCCTCAGCTCTGACTAACTGGTTTGAGTCTCCTGCTTCATTTTTGTTTCTCCTTTTCTTTTACTTCTTATTTTTTTGGGGGTCCCTTTAAGAATCTGATGAAGCAACATATACACAACAGATACCCAATTCTTGACCCAAGACCCACAACCCACAACCCCCGTATTCAAGAAAAAAGAAATCAGGATGCCAGACAAAAGTTAGGGACATTAAAGGACTCTAGAGTCCTGGTATAGCACTCTAGGATAAGCACTGGATTGCTAACCATAAAGTTGGTGGTTCAAGCCTACCAAGCAGTTCTTGGAAACCCTATACAGGGTTGCTGTGAGTCAGAACCGACTCAGTGGCTCTAACAACAAGAATAATGAAGCCAAGGAAAAAGTCTTGATGGTTAATATAGCGGTCAAACTTGAATCTAGACCAGGAAGAAAAGTTAGAAGTCAATAAAGATTACTGGGTGGGAGTGAGCAGTGGTAAGAAGAATGTCATCACAAACCTTAAATCAAAATTAATTTTCTGATGCTTAAAATCATTTTGTTCTGTTCCTAATCAAGGGTCCCTGGTGTAGTGCTGTAGGATAAGCACTGGATTGCTAACCACAAAATCAGCAGTTCAAACCCACCATCCACTCCTTGGAAACGCTACACAGGGTTGCTATGAGTTGGAACTGACATGACAGCATTTCACCACAATAACAACATCCCTAATCAGCTGTTGCCTGCCGGGAGAAAGATGAGGCTTTCTGCTCCTGTAAAGATTTACAGCTTCAGGAACCCTGTACAGGGTCGCTATGAGTCAGAACCAACTCCACGGCACATAACAACAACAATCAGATGCTCCATTCATTTAATCCATTTGTGCTATCCATTTTGCTATTAGAATATACCTCTGCTGAATTTCCTACTTTTAAAATATGCTGATAATATTTTTCTACTATTATACCTAAAATAAATTGTAACGTAAGAGGCCACAAATAGGTAAATATATTTTTTCAGTCCTTCATCGTTCCATACTTAGCACATGATCCTAACAAAGTAGAAGGATGGAAAGGGACATGAATCTAGCTAAGGATGAATTGCACAATTAGTAGCTGCAAAAATTTCTAAATAAATCTATACCATATATCCTCACCTAAGAAACTCTAACCTACATTTCTAATTTATTTTTTATCACTCCTCTTTACTCATTTCTCACTTCATATAAATAGAACTTCTAGTCTTTTCCCATATAACCTTGCAGTTTCCTACATTGAACTTTTGTACATTCCTGTTTCTCCACCTGTAACACCCACTTTCATTCTCCGTCTCAACTACAAAGTGGTGCTGGTGACCACCACCAAGGGAAAAGGCCATCTCTGAGTAGCTTCACCCAATGGAATTTTCTGCCTCCATGCATTTACCACTGTCGTTTCCGGAATTGGATTTGACACTCCGCTGAATACTCATCTACATATTCAAAGCAAATTCCCAAGGTTAATGTTTAAAATCAGAATACTAGCTTAACATTTGAATACGTTTATCAGTTCATTTTCTCTTTTTAGTCAGTTTACTGATTTATAGTTAGAAATGTCTTTCATAAACCTGAATACTTGAATTCCATTAGCCACAACCCTTACAGACATTTCCACGTTAGGGATCCCTTTGACAACGGGACCAGTGTGTTGACTTAAAATCACTCTGACCAAGAAAGTCTCTTTGGCTTTTCTCTTGTCTATTCTTTCTTGACTAATTAACTGTCTTTTTGGTTGGCACATTATTTGTTATCTTTCAAGGGGTAATTTCCCCCTGCCCCTTGATATGTACACTTAACAACAACAGAGAACATATCACTGTTTTTTTCCAAGCACTGATGACACACCATAGGTCAAAATAAAATTTTTCTCTTGAAAAAAACTTATTTTATTGTTTGTAGTTACGGCAATAAACTTACATGGAGTTGTAACTGAAAGCACAACACATAGGATCAGAAGACATGAGTTTAACACCCAGGGGACATTTATGACACTACCCAGTACTTCCCCTCCGTCTTCATTTGGGAACTTTCCTGCCACCCTACCTCCATAGCTTAGTTATTCAGCCTGTCCCTGCATTCTATGAATCAATGAATCTCCCTTTTCCTAAACAATTCAGCCTGGGTTTTTATCAATTGTAATAAAAATTAATATAGTTTCATGTAAGGAGCTCTGGTAGCATAGTGGTTACAAGTTGGGCTGCTAATCTCAAGTTTGAAACTATCAGCTGTTACTCAGGAGAAAGATGAGGCTTTCTGCTCCCATATAGATTTACAGCCTCAGAAACCCTATGCAGGGTCGCTATGAGTCAGAACCAACTCCACGGCACACCACCACCACCGTAGTTTCATACAGAACTTCCATTTCCTCATTTATTAAATAGGCAGAACAATATCCATTTCCTGTCAATTTTATTAGGTTTAAATGAGATAAAGAACTTAAAAGTGCTGACAGATATTAACTTAATAGGGTATTAGGTTATATGTCCCTGTATATAATAGGGTATTAGGTTATATG